AGGAATGGTGACCTGGAGGCTGAGAGTCAGCACTTGAGTTTTTCCCTGGGATGACAAAGACTTGCTGTGGGCTTTGGACATGCGCAAATAATTGTGACCCGGAGGCTGAGAGTCGGCTCTTGCGCCTAAGGATGTGAGAACACCCGCAGCGCGAGGCAGGAAATCATGTTCATAGCAGCGACAACTCTTGGCGTACCCAGAAAAGCAAAGGCTCATGTATAATCAGCAAATCGAAGGGGGCACACTTTCAACCCAGATGGCTTCAACACTACGAGGCCAGCTTCTGCAGCGAAACCTCCTGAAGGCTGGCCTTGTGAGACTGATCAACATTCTTTGCAAGCACTTCGTTGATTTGCAACGGTGCAATCGCAATTCTTTTGACATTTCCAAGAGGAGAGAGAGAGAGAGAGAGCTCTCCTGTGAGGAGTCTTTCCCTGTAGTGAAGCTGTCGAACTTCAAGATACTTTCTCTTCCAGGCGGAGGGATTGCAGTCTGCAGAGTCTGCATCCTGTTTGGGACTGTGATGTGCACTCGTGCCTGAACAGCCCATCCCGTTGTTTTGGAACATGATGCACTGTTGATGATACTTTGCAGTCTATGATGATGAGGATGATGAGGATGAGGATGATGAGGATGATGATGATGATGATGATGATGATGATGATGATGATGATGATGATGATGATGATGATGATGATGACGATATGATGAACGCCAGAGAAAGAAACACAACTGATGCTGCGAATTGGCAAATTGGTGGCCGGTGAAGTACAGGATGTTTACTTCATTGCAACATGGTGGGGTCCTTTTTTTTGGCATTTCTCTGGCATGGACATTGCCAGACTGAGTTGATAGTGCCCACGCTTTCATACTCGGTTGTCATAGGGCCAAGTGGCATGTGAGATCTCAGGTTAACCCCTTTATTTGTCCTTGGGTTGGCCCTCTCGCGCGGTCTTGGCTGTTTTTGCGAGCGACGACGCGGTTATGATGGAGCCCGTGGAGGAACCGATGGCCGCCTCAGTGCCGTGGGCGGGGCCAACTGCCTCTGGCGCTGATCCCCCGCTGGGAGAAGAGGCGCCGATGGAAGTGGAACAGGGGGAGCAGAAGGACTCCCTGGCCCGGCTTCGTCGAGCTAAGCCGGCTGCTCGATGGCGCCAGCAAGGAGGTAAGGCGTCCTTGACTCTCGGAGGCTTCACGCTGCGATTTCTGGGTCAGGCTCCCCGCCAGCCTCTGGCGCCGTTCGGGGCTCTGGCCTGGGCCGTGTTATCAGCCTTGGCTCTTTGTGAGACGGGTTGATTCTCGGTCCCAGTGATGCACGGGCCTCGGATCCCCGTCGCCCTGGACAGAGGGACTAGATTTGGTGTCCTTGCCTACCTTTTGGGGTTTCCGGGATGTTGTGTTGAACGTGTCCGCACTGTGACTCTCTGCAAACGGTTTTGTCCCTCTGGCTATCAAACACCACACGCACGCCTTCCGTGAGCGGGGCACCAAGCTTGATGTGACGTTGTGCTTTGGCATCAGTGCTAATGAGCTCTGCTCCTGGAGGCAGACATAGCAAGCTGCGGTTGGCACCTTGTCTGGAGTGTTGAATCAGGAGGCTCGCGAAGCCATGTCTCAAGTGAAGCCATGTCTCAAGTGGCAATCATGGCTGGCTAGATTTTGGTGAAGACCATCAAAGCGGATCCCTTTGAGCCGTGCCATGCCCATATTTCTTTTGTTGGGATCCAAGGTATGTCGCGTTTTGCCCTTGGAGTTAAACAATGTGGCTTGCCGGGTGCCCAGAGACTGTGCGTTGAGCAACTCATTCCACGGCATGAACTAAGATGATGCCGGCAGGATATTGTGCGGTAAACTGAGAGTCCTGCCAGGCCAAAGTGAGATGAAGCTGCGACCTGGCTGCCAAAATTGATTGCCATTGCGGCTAGATAGGCAACACATTCAAGTTAAGGTATTTTGTCGTCTGTCTGTCTGGAATGCAACTTGAGGACGGGTGACAGAACAAAGCTGTTGTGGCCTGACTTGCCGGTGATCCGACCAGCCGCTATGGAGCATGCTGAGCTGCAAAGCTGCCGGGCCTTCAAGGGGTGGAATGCTTGCGGCCGTGTTGTTGGAACGACTCAAAGGACCCGTTGGCCCTGCTCAGATTGAAAGGACTTACAAAAAACAGGTTTTTTTGCTCTCATCGCCACCGACACATCAAAGCAAAAATGGGTGAACGCAGGATCTTGTGCATCATATGTTCAAGAAAGCGCTTGTTACCCAGCCCACCCCAAGCCAAACTGCGCAGCCATTGAGGATGCGCACTGTTTCATTTTAAGCACGTAAAATGTTCTTATGACATTGTGGCAAGCCTGTTGGCTTCATTGCAGCTGGCGTGCAAGGTCTCCTAAGACAACCATATTGCTTCTGAGTGCCAATGTCAAGTTACCATGCTGGCTGTGCTGACTGCACAAGTCTTTGCGCATTTGCTGTGTCACTGTTACGTGGGCTGGCAAGGCTGCACACTGCAACTGGTCCTGAACCTTGGCGACAGAAGCAGCCAGAGAGAGAGAGAGAGAGCGAGCTCTGTGCTGGTTCTGCCTGCAGAAGGTCTGGAGGCCGGTTCGCAGAGGGCCAAAAGGAGTTTGTTTCAGAAGTTCAATATGCAGGGTTTGGCCAAACCCGACCGTTGCGAGGTACAGCAAGAAGATCAAGCTGGGCAGCGTCTCGTTGCGCTTTCCCGGCTGGGAAGCTTCTCATGTCAAGGGCGAGCAGCTCTTCAGATGTTGTCCCTCGCTTTGGCTAAGGGGTTGAGAACCTTTTGTTCGTTTCACTTTGCTTCTTAAGACATGAGCCAACAAAGGCTTTGTTGCTCGACCAATCTTTGCCAAACTAGCAATCAAAACAGGGCGTGAAGGCTGCTAGGCTGTTTCCAGGTAGTCGCACCATTTCTGTAGCGAGTGTCAAATGTGTCAAATGTATCGAAGCCAGCTGCCAGCACAGGTTTCAAAGGGCCCATCGTGAGCAAGAACTCGACCTGCGACACAGGCGACTGTGAATGGTGCTCCCAGGAACCCTCAAGACCACGCCATGTTATACAACATGCTGCCTCATCACTTGTAGTTTCCCGCATTGAGTCAGCATTGGCACCTAGAAGAGACGACCCATGTCTGTGAGAATTGATGGCTGTGTCGGCTGAGAGTGTGCATTGCTTTTCAAATACCCCGATATTTTATGTGGGGAGCCCGGCGACACGAGCAAGGCATGGTCTCTGGCACTCTGCAAGTGGACTGGACCGAAGATTCCATTGCAGCTGCGAACCAAGTGGCCTTGCTGCGATTGGAACACGGAGCACATATTTTTCCCACTTTGAGTCTCTGCTCCTTGGAAGCCATGGACCGCACCAGCGAGTTTCTTCCGGCTGTTCCTACTCATTTCAGCAATAGCCTCCCTGAAACCATGTTGCTGTCGCAGAAGCAAGGCCCACATTCAAGATCCCAGTCAATTCCTGCAGGCCGCCATTTTTTCCGTCTCTATACCGACTATGGAGTATATATATATATATATATATACAACAGTATGCAATTTTTACTCGGTAGGGCACCCCTGAAACTAAGCATCTGAGGCGGCACTTTTGACGCCCACGAGGGGCGCTGCCCGGGCCACAGAGGGTGGTTGGGGCTCGGTTTCTCGTTTCAAGAGGCGGCACGGGGCCTTCACAAATCGCTTGGAGTGAAGCCAATTGCCCGGAGACCCGGAGAGGAGAAGTGCTGCTGCGCTGTGCAGTGACGGCGCATATGCTTTAATGGGTGTCACCATGGTTTACAGTGGCTTCGTACGCCGCCTGTTCAGAGGTGGCACAAAGATGTTGGGGAAACCGGGGCATATTTTTGCAAGGCAGCAGACCTTGAAGCAACTTTGCACCGCTGAAGGGCGTACACTTGGCGCATTCCTTTGCTTGCCTCAATGGTTTGGCGCATGACACGGCTTGACCATGACATGGTCAGCTGCCGCCCTTGGCCCCAGTGATGCTATCTTCCGGTGTTTGTTTGCTGCCCTCCCTGAGGGATGCTTGCAGCAATCGATTGGGCAAGAGACTCTGCGCACCTGCCGCAGTCTTGCCTCGTCCGAGCTTGTCACCAGTCCATGACTGTTGAACAACTGTTTGGATGCGAGCTTCTCGCGGTGAGCCATGCTTTCAGGGCTACTTTTCGCTAGATTTTCGGTTTGCAACCCACGGGCATACTGGCTCACTGATAGAGAAGGGGTCTGCATCCACTGAAATCATTATTCAACTGTGTAGGGTGAGAGGGCGCGCGCCGTGAGAGAGAAAGACCGTCCGTTGGCCGCCAGTGTTCCCAGCGCCAGGATGCGACTTGACATCTTCAGAAGCTTGTGAAGTGATCAATCTCGCCGCCTCTGTTTCGTGACTCTGCAAATCCTCTGTCAATGCCCGATGTTAGGCTGCAATCTGTAGAACTTCAATCATGCTGGGAATGAACGCTGGTACTTAAAGAAGAAGACGTCAGAACTCGCTGCCGCGCAGTGTTAGAGTTGTGGGTGATTTGCATGATAGCAGTTTCGACTGTGTCGACACAAGCTTCTAGGGAGATGAGGTTCAACCGCCATGGATCAACCACGATTTTATGGCACTTATCAACAGCTGGACCTGTGATTTTCAGAAGCATCACGTTGAGGGAAGCACATGCAAGAGAGGTTTTTGCAGGGCTTCCTTTGTATGGCGGTTACAGAGACTGGCCAACAGAACTCCAGAATAGCACGACTTTTCCTTTCTCCAAATCGAAGGAAGTTTTATCAACCCACTGCTTGAAGCGAAATTTTTCGGCAGAGAACATGGCACTGGTGGATGTAAAAACAAACAAAACAATACATGTGCCGAGGACTCATGAGAATATGGAAGGCTACCCTATGGGTGAAGCTTTGTTGTGGCACGTCAGCTCGAACCTACTTGAGATTTAAGTTCCATGCCATCAGTGCGTGCGCAGATCGCAGCTTGCCAGGAGCTACAAAAGGCGCCGGATTTGACAAAGACTAAGCTGTGTCGTGACCTCAGGTCGGGCTGAGTCAGGAGGACGCATGCTCGGAAGGCCCTGCTTCTAAACGAAGGACATAGTGAACTTTGGACAGGCAAAACAGGCGCAGGTTTTATTCTTTGTTCCCCATACGCCAGGTGCCAAACATGGGTCTTCCATTCTCTGAGTCAAATGGAGCGATCTTGTGCGACCGGATGTTTGCGGGTTCCCTCCGTGAGGCTACAACTTTTTTCGTCGGAAGTGCAACGACTCCAAGTGCAAGTTTGCCCACGGGCCGGGGCCTCAAGGGCAGGTCGAGGTTGCAATCGGTCTTAACAGGGGTGCTCATCCAGAGGTGCCAAAGAAAACCCGCTGGCTGGGACGCACTGTGTGGTTCCCGTTGGGTTTGTAGTGATGGTACGCATTCCTTTGACATCATTGAGATCACTGCGAAGAGACCACTGCCACCTTGCATGAAGGCGCTGGACCCTGGCGCAGATCCGATTTGCCAGGAGTCCTTGTCTGTGTGTTTGTTTGTTTGTTTGTTTGTTTGTTTGTTTGTTTGTTTGTTTGTGTGCTTATATATGTGTAAGGTGGCCCACTTCTGCGCTATATTTGTATTGCTGAATGTGAAAGAGCCTGACTGACAGCATTCAGCATCCTGAGCACATCATGTTGGTTCCACAGGAAACCACAGCCGATCTGTCTTTTAGCTTTGGCTTCAGCTTATTCCTTTTGAACTAGTGACCTCTCTGCGCAAGAGCCGCAGCAGAGTTTGAGATGTTCCTGCGACTTTTGGGCCTCCTCTGCGTAGTGCATGCGGAGGAGAAGTTTTTGCGAGGCTCTTCGCCTTCCCTCCAGACCATCCAGAAGAACATCAGCAAAGATGTTCTGTTTGATAAGCTGATGGGCTATTGGGTGGGCCAGCTGGTTGGGAACTTTATGGGCCTTCCTTTTGAGTTGACATACTGGGATGACCCCATGCCGATTGAGCCGCAAACTTACTATGACGAGGAAAGCGCCAACGCCTCCGGACTACGTGTAAACGGGCCCTGCGAAACGGACGGGCGCGGCTGCATCCCGCAAACCCTGACACGTCTTCAGGGGGCATACACCGATGATGATACTGATGTAGAGTTTGTGACGCTGCATGCTTTGATGGAGCACGGATTGAATTTGACGTACGAGCAGATTGCTGTTTACTGGCAGACTTATATTCACATCGAGGTGAATGGCTCCGAGGCCCTTTGGTTTGCAAACAAGGCTGCGCGCGAGAACATGGACAAGGGCTTGATACCTCCAGCCACTGGTTCAAAGGCTGAGAACCAGTTCTGGTGGACAATTGATCCGCAGCTGGTGAACGAGCTGTGGAGTGCCGTCTATCCCGGCATGATCGAGAAGGCCGTGGAGCGGGCAGAGTGGGGCGCCCACATCACCAGCGACTCCTGGGGAACTCACCCCACCCGGTTTTATGCCGCGCTCTACAGCGCGGCGTTTTTCTCGAGCGATGTGCCGAAGCTATACAGGCTTGGCATGAAGTTTGTCCCCAGAGGCAGCCCTTTTCGCAGGGCGTTGGTGAAGGTCTGGAGATGGAAGAAGAACAGCCCGGATGACTGGAGGCCAGTCTGGCGAAAAATCAGGGCAAAGTATGGACGCTGGCCGTACAATGCATGCGGCGAGATTCCCTGGATTTGTACTCTCTCGGCCATGATCAATGGGGTCTTGGGAGCGATGGCATTTCTGTATGGCAATGGAGACTTCAGGCGGACAGTGGGTATTGCCATAGCCGCTGGCTTTGACTGTGACAATCAAGCTGCCACTCTTGCTGGCTTGATTGGAGTTATGCACGGAGAGAGTGCCATTCCTCATGACCTGACCCGGCAGGTTGCCGGCAACAACTGGACAAGGTCTTTCAACAATTTGTACGTGAACGAGCGGCGTCCTCCCTTGCCCCGATATCACACGAATACGGGCATCGTGGACAAAGTCATGATTATGACCCAGCGGGCCATTCTAGAGCAGGGCGGGCGAGATGTTGGAACCGCATTGGAGGTCCCTACTTCACCGCTGATTGGTTAATGAGACACCAGCATGTGTACAGAACCAGGCAGACCAAGGATGCCGGAAGCGCGTCCTTGAGCTAAATTCGCTCTCCGTCCGGAAAAGCACGATTCCACATATTGGATGCCAGCACAAGCACAGATTCTTCACAAGGGGCAGTTTTGGGCACAGCCCCAGGAGCCATCAACCTCATTGGATTTGGGGAATATTTGGCCTCACTTTCTTGTTCCAAGTGTCCTTCTTGATTCCCAGAAACGAAGCGCCATTTGGCCCCCTCCCGGCCAGGTTGGCTGCCCCCATTGAGGGATGTAGGTTTCCCTTCGATATGCTTTTGAAGCCTTGTGGTTGCACAAGGGGGCAAAGGGGAAAATGGGCTCTGCGAACCCCAAGGCTAAGGATAGGCAAGACTTGAGGTATGGAGAGCTTCGGGCTACTGACACGGTGTTCAAGACCGAGCTGTGCCGATGGTGGGCAAATGGTAGCTGCAAGGCCAGGTGGGTAGACAGCAGAGCATTGGCGTCAATCAGCACCTCCCTGACGGTCTGGTTTTGGGGTGTGAAGGCCAAGGTCTGAAAGGAACGAAGCCCAACTTATTATGTTTTTTTTGGGGGGTCCCCGTTTTCGCAGACGACCAAAAGCGCCCGGTTTTTTTCTTCTCCCGTGGCAGGCCGGGGATTCCTGCCGCTATGCTCATGGCATAGAGGAGCTGAGGACCTTGGCCTATCCGAACCCAGGCGCGGGCTGGGGTGCTCGCTGAGGCATGGCTTCGGTGGCTTAAAGCACCCCTTGGCTTGAGACGAGTTCCCCCCAACCTCTGAAGTCAAAGCCAAAACCAGGGCGGAAAAAGGCACGAGTTGCGAGCGGCCCCAAACGTTTTGTTTTTGGTTTTCCTGGGAGCATGGGCAAGAACAAACCACGTAGGTATGTTCGGCGCCGACTTTGACCTCTCGCAGCTCTCGCAGGCCGAGCAGACATCGATGGGATCCCTTTGGGTGTGTTTAGTTGAAAATGGAGGCCACTGGTTTTAGCTTTGATTCTAATTCATTGACCACCGGAAGCATTTGGTGTTTTGGCAACACACATTATGACACAATATATATATAATATATCTATACATATTTTGGCTAACTAGAGAGATGGCAGGAAGGCAAGGTGCCAGATCAATGAACAGATCTGGCTGCAGAGTAGCTGAGGCGACTTGCAAAATTGATTTGGCACACTGAGAGGAGCCAGCCTATTTGGCAGGCCAACGAGCCAGGTTGTACTATTGCTAAAGTAGACGAACGCTTTTGCAACTGTCGTGTGGTGATAAAGCAAGCGAATCTTCAACAAACTTGACTTGCTGACCAAAAATCACGAAAGCTAGCGTTAGCAAGCTTGAGCTCCTACTTGCTTTGCAAGTGTTCCGGATGGATGCACCACTCTGATTACATCACATGCAGCCGCCGCTTTGTGTGAGTGCAATCACACGACCCCCCCCCATCCTCCTCCTCCCCCCCTATGGGCCCGGGCACTGCTCGTTTCATGAACGTGCGCGCACTTGCATAGGCATGTGCCCCCACACGCTTCTTTGCGCGGCCACCTTGCCTGAGCTGGCATGGATGCGCCGGAGCCTTTGAACATTCAAGCTGGCATCGCCGTTTCTATGCGCGCGCGCTTGCAAGCCCAGTTGCAGCTTCTTTGGTGCTTTTGTTGGCGCTCACTCACGTGCTCCGCTGCCTCTTCCCCCCGACTCGCGACATGATTTTTCCTGCTGTAGCCTTGGTGCCAGCTCGCGTGAGCTTGCATGTGTGCGCCGGCGCGCGTGCGACAGTCACTGGTTTTCTGAGCTCGTCAGGGCAGCAGCCGTCTGTAACCCGCAGCCTGAGTGAAAACGGCTTTCCACCCCAACTCCAGCATCTCCCGCCTGACCAGCTCAACCTCGATGTGCTTTCTGTCTGTCCTTGATCTCAACCAAGCTCTCGCATCGGCAATTTCTCCCATTCTGCCACCGCTTCCCGCTCCACCGCCTGAATCGAACAAGTGGCTGCGTTGCTGCTCAAAATCTCGAGTGTTGCAGCAGGCTTGCCAAGTTCCGCTCCATTCCTCGGCCAAATCCACCTCACCAGCGAGTTCATCGTCTGGGTGCCGAGTTTGTTCAAGGGTCCACATCTTCAGCTCGCTGTTCTAGATCCAGTGCAAATGGAGCAGGCCGGACCACCTCCAGAGGCCCTTCCACCTCCCCCGTCTGATAACGCATCCCCGACCAGTTCGCATCTCCATTCTGCCACGTGCAGCTTCCCACAGCACATGATCTCTGAACTCCGGATCCTGTCTAAGATCCACTTCCTCATTTGGTCGACCTTCCGCCAAACCGAGCCATAGGGCTCGAGATGTTGTGTTCGTCCCCTCCGCACCTGCTGAGCACCTCCTTCAATCCGTTGAGCGTTGGCCGCAGTGCCCGGCCTTCGCGCGTTGCTCTCGCCCAGCACTGGCCCCTGGAGCTTCACCTTCGTGCTGTCTTGTCCATCGCCAGCCCGTAGGTCTCTGCATTCATGGCACTGCTCGTGTAGATGCTCTTGCCCCGTAGTGCTTAGTTCGTCACCATTGGCCATGTCCGCATAGCCCCGCCGCTCCAAAACTCATCACTCCTGCGCTTTCGGTGCCGGGGGATTGTTTGGCCTTCCCTCAACATCTCAGTTCCATGGCGCCCCAGGCCGCGCTATGTTGGGCTCGTAAAGCGGGCCAGGAAAAAACTTCAGGATTTGCCTGTGCTCATTCCACGCTGCTGCGCGTGTTGCTAGCTTTCGTCCATCCCTCTCTCAAGTATTATTTCTGCACATGCTGAAGAGTAGGTCAGTTCTGAGCAGCATTTCACCCAGCTCACTGAAAATTGCCACTCTCACTCAAGATAACGCAACACAGCCAAGCACTCACCCGCAAGACAGCAGAGACCCTCCAATTTTCCTGTGCATCGTCCACCTTGCTGCTTTGACGCCAGGCGGACTTTGGCTTCGACGGCTATGGTTATGACTTGGCGGACGGGCCCTTTCAATCTTTTTGTTGCTCTGATGCCGGTTTTTCAATGAACACAACTTCTTCGTTGATTTGGACGCCAGAGGGATTCGTTCCGCACGCCGGCAGGATTTCCAGATGCCTGATATGCCTGATGTGACCAACGCCTCGGCGGATGCATCGGCGGATGCAGATGATGGTGGTGCTGGCATTGCGGCCCAGCGCTCAGGCTCTGTTTGTGCTGTTTAAAGGGGCATCAAACGACCTGTCTGCATCCAATTGCTGGCATCTTGCCTGAGACACCCACCAGCGAAGACAACATCCATGAGATGCTGCAGGCGCCTTGCTATTTGATCCCAAAATGGAACTCGCCTTGGGGGAACCACATGCTCAAAGGGAATTTGCCACTGATCATTCTCAAGCGACCAAGAACTCCACTTGCCTGGAACCATTGAAGTACCAGCTATACAAAGTCTTGGCCGCAGGAGCGATCTGCCACCGGCAGCGACGCAGAGATCTCGGAGGCTTTGGGTGCAAGAGCGGAGCACTTTCGGGTATGGGTTAAAATTCAATGAATCGGACCGCAGGTTTTAGTCAAGTCCATCTTTCACACAAAATGGGCAACCCATTTTTGGGTTACCCATTTTTTTGCGAACCCATTTTGGGTTGACCAACGATTGTTGACAGACCCACAGGCAACTGTGTTTCTCATTGCTTCAGGCGCTGGACTTCGGCATGCCTGGAGTTCCGGCGCCAGGATCGCATCGAAGGGACATCAGACTGGGGATCCCAGAAAAAAAAAAACAAAAAAAAAAACAACAACGCCAAGTCAGTTGCTGAGATTCGTTGGTGCAGGAGTGGGTGTACTCACTAGACAGAGAACGGCAAGACGCTTAGTGCAGGGGTTCGCGCCGTGATTGTTTGGATCGTTGTCATGCATTTTTGCTCCAAGAGGTGTCAGTATGAAGCCACGACATGTGAGCAAGCGCGCGCTTGCGTGTGTGTGTGTGTGTGGTGGATGTTTGCGAGGTGGTAGTTTGCAATCTTCTCCGAGCGGTGGCCATTGTCCTGACATTGCGAGGCTCCACCTTCCGTTGCTGTCAGCAAGGCTGGCCAGCCGCAAGCATGCAAATCTGAGCAACTCAGAGACGGGTGGGTGGGGGGTGGGTGGGTGGGGCTGCGCCCTGCATGGTGCAGTAGTGCCACTTGCCAGCTTTAAAAGGGGTTCCAAGGGCGCCATTTTGTTTGCAAGTCTCTGTTTGTCTCCCTCCCTGGAGCCTGTGCTTTCTGCACAAAGTCCACGAGCAACTAGCTTGGGTCTTTGTTTGTCAGCTAGGAGGGACAAGCAGCGGAGAGCCACAGGATGGTTTCCGGCCGGCGTTTCTTCCGCTTTTCACAGGACGACGATGTCATTCTCCGGATCAAGGGCACCTTCATGGAGGCGAAAACCGTGCCGCTCTGAATGATGGTTTGCGGTGTCGGTTTGAATGCAAGGTGCCATTTGTGTGGTGGGAGTTGCCTTGCAATGCCGAAGCACGAAATCGTCGCGTGCAAATGCACTCTTTCATTTGCAAGAGGTATTTAATGTCACGAGTTTTCATTGCATCACAAGATCATGCGGTGGAGTACCATGACATGCGTGCCACGCCATGTGCCAGATCACTGCATCATGCCGACTCTTACGCTGAAGTGCGTTGCGCATGGTCAGCCACATTGCGTTAGAGCATGTCATGCACGCTACGCCGCATCACACTACATCACATGACTGCCTTTGGACAAAGCACGCCATACCCGATCATGTTACCACATGTTACGCCGGTCACACCACCCTTTCTCACAGCAAGCCATCGCATAACGCCATACCATGATATCGCAAATTGCCTGCCAGGCATCACCCCGTAGCAGCTATGAGATCAATTGTTCAAAGTCCCTTGAAGTGGGGACCTTTCTGACGGAAGCCAAGCTACATCCAGTTGTTTCTCAAAATTGGGTTGTTTGGTTCTCCCTTTGAAACCGCCCCACAAAGGGCTCCATTTTCCGAGAGTTAGACTCAGCCTTCATCCACATTTTGCAATTCCAGTCATAGGGTCCCTACACTTGGCGCAAATCAAATACGCCCACCAAAACAACCCTATTCTCAACATGTTTTCACCTCCCCCCAAAGTGGCTAACCAATAGAAAAGGGCGAGTGCCAACCGTTAACCAAAATCATGAAAAATAAACTGCAATAAATATGGATGGCAACATGTGGACAGGACAGGGCTTCAGTAGATAGATGTTCACCGTCATGGCTCATGTGTTGACGGCTCTAAGTGCAGCAACAGTTCCAACTGACGAGGGCGACCGCTGCAACTGACATGGCCACAGTTGCCACTGATGCAGCAACAATCGCAACAGCCCCAGAAATCCGTTGCAACAGCCCCAGAAATCAGTTGCAACAGCCCAGAAATTTGTTGCAACTGCCCTAGAAATCTGCTGCAGCTGCCCTGCACTTCCGGAGCTACAGGCCTCAAAGGCCGTAGCGGCTGTCCAAGACATCCCTTGCAAGGTAAGGCAGTTTCACCACGGCCCCAATAGTTTGACCGATCCCATTGAACAAGGTTGCCTTGTCACTTCACTCTGCGTCACGCGGATCCAACATGCTTTCCGCCGCAGATTCGCCTATCAAGATTCGCTTGATGCATTTTGTCAGCTTTAGACGTGGCCAGCCTGCAGCATCATCAGCGGCTGCGGGATTGGCTATCATGTTGCCCCATCTTCTTCTTTGTTTTCGCTTATTTGCTTTCTCCAGAGTTCCTCAACCAAATGTTTAAAGTCTACCTTGTGAATGAAACATGGCTGTTTGTAGCGAGTGATGGCCAACTCTCCAGATGCAACACGTCGCGTAAAATGCCTAAGAAACATACCATTAATCATGTTAGTATCATTGTTAAAGATAGATTGTAATGTGTCACTTCTGATTTACCAAATCATGTTTATACCGTTGATCTTACATGTGCCATTGTAAACTTTCCAAGCATCCATCTGATTGAAAACTCCAATTCTGGTAACCTCATTAAACGCATTTGTAGATGCTTCTTGTTCATATCAAATTCCTGCTTTGGAACATCCAATGTGTACAAGCCCTTGAACCACTCACCTTGTGGGACGATAGTCCTGTAATTCTTCCATGCTTCTATATCAGTAGGACTGTAAAAATATTTGTGATTTGGATTGCTGTTTGTCTGTCAACCGTGATGTCGCTGTCAATGTGATTGTCTATTGAACATTGTGACCAAATTGATAAACATTATTAAAGTCCGCCCTCAAGTCGGAAAAAGCCCCTGCTTTGCGAACAAACCTGCACTCACACCCAATCTGTTTAAAATCAAATTAATTTACGCAGATCATTCTTTCTACGAACTACATACAAAGTTCTTTTCGTTCTTGCTAGTCCTACTGTTTACAGTGGCCTTGACAACCTAAAATACGTATGTCATCAATGGTAGAGAGCATTCTTGCAAGTTGTGATGGTTTTCTCTATCACGATGTAGTAGTCGGACAGTGCCTTTACTGGAATGCGTATCTGCATGCTGTTTCTGCTCCAAGCTTTTAACATTAGTATGCAAAGTATAATTATGATGACCATTTCTGACCATTGCATATGACGGTTTGATATGTGAGATTCTGACTTTGGGGTAGATCATCTTGCCTAATTAGTTTATAAGTCTGACTTGGATTCTGTACAAACACTGGGCAGTTGACACCCCCAATACTGAGAATTCTTGCTCTGTTCTATTGATGAGGTTCAGTATCGTTTCCGTGTCATTGGTTCCTTCTTTTTGTCGCTGATTAATACACCCTTATAAGAATCGCTGAATGTATTTAATCAACATTCATTCCCTACATAATTGCCTTTCTCGATAGCTTCCATTAATGTTTCCTTTGATGTATCCAGCTCGCTATACATGTAAGTAGGATACATGCTGATGCTTTCCAATCTTCTCAGGTTGGCTTATCGCGGATTGCTAGGCTGACCGCTTTTCGCCTTCCTGGCCCTCAGAATCTTCAATGCATCAAAATACCCCGTCTCTACTCTGTAAGTCACGGCATCGGTCTTGCCAGTTAATCTCTTCTTGGTGTTCTTGAGTGTTTCGTTCTGATAACATCGTCAACATATCCACCCATGCCATTTAGAATTATTTCGAATTCTGGATCTTGGGCAAGTGTTATAACGAGCTTTCTAAACGTTTCGGGGTCAGTAATTTTTAGGATTCTGTTTGCCACATACTCAATTGTGCCGAAAAGAGTAGGGGGGCCCTATGACTGGATTGCAAAATGTGGATGAACAAGGTCACCTCTAACTCCCAGACCCCTCCCCTCCTTTCCTCGGCTGATGTGCATCGCTAGGCTGTGCGCATCGATGAAGAGCTGCAGCACGTGTCGATGCACCGCTCGTGGAGCGATGGCGATCTCGCCCAGCTCCTGGAGGCCGACGCGAGACGAACAAAAATCGGGCGAGCCACCTGGGGTTTGGCTCCCAAAGGAAGACACGAGGCCTGTTTTGTAGATGGGTTGTTTGAGGTAAGTCGTGGTGTTTGTTGGTTTCGTTGCGGTTTCCTTGTGGTTTTGCATTCCCTCCAAAAGTAGCAGTTTGCATGGAAAGCACAAGTAAGTTGCAATTGAAGGGGAAAGACTTTTGAAGGGAGATCCAGCGACGCCTGAAAGTTGGGATCTGTCCAGGCCGTGCTTCATTGGTTTTCTCCATCCGGGAAGGTGTGTTGGGGAAGCCGGAGAAATGGTCCCCGATTTTCAGACTCATTTCCGGACCTCAGCCTTTCGGAAACGCGCTAGAGGACCTGTCGATTGTGATATTGGGGGTTGATCAAAAAGTCCGTGATACATGGGATAATCATTGGGGAAATCCAGCAAAAGATGATACTTCCCACTAAATGAGAAAAGTTACCCATGGTCCTTTGGGGGCAGGGAAGATTGATTTGCCTCCCCCAACAATCAGACGCTGCGCTTGAAAGTTGCGTGGAGCATGTCAAGCGCAGGCTATGGACAGCGACTCTGACTAGCCTAGTATCACAGGAGCGCGAGGCTCCATTGGAAAGCCTGTGGATCTTTGAGCAAGCGTGCCTGCTTGTTTCCCAATCTCGCTCATGTATGGTTGCACTTCAATTAAACTTTGTTGTTTCTTGCCATGTGATTGCCTCGTTTTGTTGTTTTGAGCGTAATACAGGCGATTCAAATTGTTTCAAAGCCTTGGCGTACGACTTTCGCTTCGGTTGCCAGGACTTCAATAGTTTTTAGGCAAGTCCTACGTCAGGGCACAGATTATAGTGCGCCAGCTCGTCTCTCTGGGGGGTTTTGACCATGGAGTCTATGACCTTGGTGTTGTCTCTTGACTTGAGAGCAGTGGCCGGTGCCAGTGAAGTTTTCCTGCACGGCCAAGCCGTGTGAAACCATGGCCCTCACGTCGTCCCGTGGCAAGTGGCCAACGTTTCAATGTCGGCTTTGGCGCCTCCTTTTTCCCTGCCCAATTTTTGAAACCATGTGGCATGTCGGCCGTGGCTTTTCAAAGGTACAGCTGCCTGCAAGCCAATTAGCTTGGCAGATGTGCAGGTGCCAGATGGATTGGGCATGGATGATTGCGCATTTGTTGAAGAGGCCAATGTGTTCGAAACATCTGTTTGAAGTTCATGTTGCCACTCTCTTTGGCACTTCGACCGGTTCAGCGTAGGCGTAGCGTTGCAAAAGAAAGGCGACTCTCCTGATGCGATGGTTTGGATGCTGTTTTATTTTTTCTTTTTGCTTGATTTGCGGGGCTTGCTAGCCGAGTCGAGGTTTGCCCATTGTTCCTGTCTTCCAGAGACCTGGCGAGCTTTGTGCATAGCCCGGGTGGAATGCGGCTTCGATGGGCCGGGCGCCAGGCATCAAGTCGAGTTCCCTTCATTCAGCCCACCAACAGGAACAAATTAAGAAATCCTCCGCGGGTGCAGCTGAGAGGGGGAGGGGGGGTGCAAAGCAGGTCTTGCAAAAGCAAGCTGGACGGAGATGCAGTTTCTTTGCAGCCCAGGCTTGACGTGTTCGGATTTGCAGCAGGAGCGTCGGAACAAAGCAGACACACGTACACACACACACACACACACACGTTCGCCCTGCAAAGGAGTGCGACCGGGACAAGAAGTGCTATGTGGATCAGAACGAGATGAAGGCAGACACTTCATGATATGAATCTGGCAAAACTGAATGCCAAGCTCCTGTACATCGAAGTCTTCGACTGGATTCGCTTTGCCCCAACCTGTGTCAGAGGGAATAAGCTCAAGCCAAATCTTTGTAGCTCAACATGAGCCCACGAGTTCGATAGAGAGCCAAACATAGCCATGCCTTTCGGTTTTGAAGGTGATAAGGAAACTATCAACATTTGTTTCGATTTCTTTATTCCAAGACACCCCCGTGCATTCGCGAATCTTGTGCGTTGCGATGTCTCGCGCAGTTCTCCTCTCGTTCCAATGTGAAGCTGAGCGGAGCCAGTGCCCGCCTTGGCAGCTGAAAATTGAAGCCTGCCGCGGGTGGCTCGTCTTTTTTTGAGGTACCCGGTTGGGGCTGGTGAAGCCAAAAGGAAGCCATGTAGTGGATCTTGGTTCCAGAGACCTAGCTTGCCAAGGTGAGTCAGCTTTCGTGTCACTGCAGCTGTCAGGTGGGCCGAGCGCCACTTGGTTCTCCTCGAGGCCTGAGGTGATGAGATGTTGAAAGCCTGTCGCATGTTATGCGCAGATCC